ACACACACACACACATATATATATATATATATATATATATATATATATATATATACTGGGTGTCCCAAAATAATGTATACTCTCTTTGAATCATTATAACTTATTCAATTTATGTATTTTGACTTGTAAATAAGATTAATACAAGAGAATGAATAGACATTTAAAGAATTTGAGCGTAAAATATACAAAAAACATGGAAAATTAACTTTAATAAGATAAAAGCTACTTGGGGTAATGGCAGAATGTTCATATAATGATGAGTTCACATCAAGTGCTCAAACTGGTTACCGTTCTGTTCAATACACTTTTCATATCTTGAAGAAATAGACCTACAAAAGTCTAGTATCATTTCCTCTGGTATTTGAGCACATTCTTCTTCAATTGCTACTCTCATTTCAGCAATTGTTTCAGGTTTCCTGCTGTCTTTTAGAAACCCCCACAAAAAGAAATCCAAGGGTGTCAAATCTGGTGATCTAGTTGGGTATTCAACTGTCCCTCTTTTTCCAATCCATTTGTTTTGCAGATTTTCATCCATATAAGCTCTCACGTCACGGTAATGTATTATTAACTATTAATATCCAAAGAGTTTATACATTATTTTGGGACATTAATATTTAAAGAGTGTATTACTTATTTTTTGGTATATATATGAGAATGCGTCTCTTATAAGTATAATGTATCATTGCCCATTGCTATAGATTTTACTATAGATGTATTGTAGTACGTAATTCACACCAGGTAACACGAGAGGTTTGAATTGAATTTAATGTCCAAAAGGAATCTTAGTTCTCCGAGGAGGGGATCTGTGTTGACCCCATTATGTTCTAAGCTGACTCTAAGAGATAAAAGAGATAACAAAGTAAGCTTTTCACTCAGTGTCACGCTATACTATCCAAAGACCCAGGTGCATTAGAGGATTGACCTGAAAGGTGTCCTCATTGCTATCCTCATTGCTATCGGGATTGAAAGGCCGATATATAAACAGGGAGTCAGCCTGCCGAACAAGAACACACGAAGATCTTCTAGGTTGTTCTGCCCATTCTTTTACGTGGAAAGATTGCTGTCTCTTGTGGCGTGTCCATACCATTTCAACTTCCTCTTCTTGAAGATGGCGATGAGGTCTTCTAAACGAACTGTTCATGGTTTTACGAGAGAATGTATTTTTTTTTAGGCATTACGCCCAAAGCAAGGCGTGAAGCCACTAGGATGCAGGGGGTTGCAGAAGATTTGGAGCGAGAGCAGATAGGAGTGATAGAAGAAAGGATGAGGAGAGGGATAGTGGATAGATCAAGGTAACTGGAGATGTCAGTTGACATTACATTTGAATAGTTGGAGATTATAGCTCTCAGGGAAACAGTAATTGGGAAGGGTGTTCCACAGGCGAGAGGTGTGAGGTATGAAGCTATTGGAGTAGAAGAGACGGCTACATTTGAAAGTTTCTACAGTGTAAGGGTGGGAGCGGGATGCCAGCCTCGTAGGGCACTTGAATTCATGGAGTCTGGGAACCAGTGAAAGCAGCTCATCGGAGCAATTACCATGAAAGTATTTGTAGAAAAGACAGTGAGAGGCGACGGTGCGTCTGTGAGAGAGTGACTGTAGACGAGATGCCAGATCAGGGCCAATTATATTACATATCCGTCTCTGGATCTTGTCAAGAACTCCGCGGTACCTCAGACCATATATGGCAGCAATACTTCATGCCAGGGCGAATGGTTGATTTGTATATTTGAAGTATCGATTTCGGGGAGAAAAATTTCCTGGCGCGGCACAGAGAGCCAACTTTCTTCGCGATGGACGATGCAATTGACTCAATGTATTTGTTCCATCTCAGGTCAGCAGTCAACGTGAGACCGAGCAGACGCAGACAGTTGCTCTCAAGAAGTTGACTATCAGACATTCTAATGGGGAGGGGGCAGGGAAGGATCTCTATAGTGATTAATAGAGAGTAATTTAGTTTGTAAACAGTTTTACTATAGAAATATGTTATAGGTTAGGAAGTAATGCATACCTCACTATCAGAAATAGTTTATCATACTTATAATAAATACGCACATTTGTTTTTCATTTTTTACCGCTTTAGAAATTTATGGGGAGTCTGAACCATTGTAACCCTCAAAATATATTGGGTTGGTGCATAATTATCAGGCGTTTTTGTCGGCGAGTTATTTGTTAATAAAAATTACTGTTTTGTTTACTTTTTTTTTTAATAAAAATATTATTTTATTTTGAGGATATAAAAATGCGTGTCGATAATCATATGCTCCGGAATAATCATTTAAAAATGTTATTGTTGAATTGTTTTGTTTCTTTTTTCATAATAAATAGTGTTTAAAAAACGCCTGATAATTATGCACCAACCCAATAGCATCAGTTTCCCAAAGAAAAAAAATGCGTTTACATAAAAACCTGTTTAACAAAAGCTATATCGTTGTGAAAGTGATTTAATCTTGAAAGTCGTACGAACGATTATTAGTAAAGTTTGGGGATTTCTTTCCTCGGAGCAAACGTGTCTGTGCGTCCATGCACTGCCGTTCTCATAAAACGGTGTGGGTGGGGGTATTCCTCTTTATCAGCTCTTCCTATCAAGATTCTTCAGGGGTTGCTATACTGAACCTCCTCAGAGTTATACCACCTGTCTCGCAATCTACGCTACATTTAGTGTGCATTCTTTCTCTCTCTCTTACAGACTTGACTAGCAGAAGTACCCGGTGATGCCCGGGATTCTAAATATCTAGAAGTAATTCACGTACATGGGTTTACAAATGATTTAATTGTTTTAAATTGATGAAGACAATCCTTAGTTTTATTTTTATTTTCATTTTTTTATCATTCCACCCCAAGCAAGGCGATAATGCCACTAAGATGCAAAAGGTTACTTGAGTGGTAGAAAATGAAGAAACCTTAGAAGAAACCGGAAACCCAATCCTAAATAGGAAACAACCGGACGATAAGTGAAAATAAAAAGGTTGATCCGTTTAGAATTGGTGTTTCCAAGAAAGTAAAAAACGGTAATTCGTTTTTATTTCAAGAATAATTCAGAAAAATATAAGCACATATAAATTTAAGTTCTAAAAGAAAATTCTATTAATTTTCTTTTAATTAAATTTTCTTATAAAATAATCTATTTTTCAAAATATTTTATATGATTTGAATATTCCGTAAAAGAGAATTTTTCCAATGTCAATTTCATCATTTATTCCTATTCATTCCTTTTCTTAGGGTATTAGTGCGAAGTGAATGCAGAATATCTTAGCATGTGTTTGAATTCTATTCGGTTCTATTATCTGTGCTGTCAACGTCTTCGCTACAGGCACTTCCTGTAGTTTTCTTTAGAAATAATAAATGTTTACCAAAACTGTGTCGGTTACGAATTATGTAGTGCTGAGGAAAAAAAAGCTGCCCCTTTTTTTGTAGTTTGTCCAAAAATATCAGTTTCGACCCTAAATTCATTTACGGTTACTTTTATAGACCCTGCAGTTTAGCGTCACCTATCCTATGTTCATTACCTCGTTAATCTACCCTTATAAAATAATTATCAGTCACTAGCTTTGGCCATTTAATCGGCCATAAGACACATGCAAGCAAACAATCGCCTCCTTTATAGTAATAGATAATACTACTAATGAAAAAACAACAACAAACAGACAAAGGAGCTGCGATAAAAAATAGAATAATTACGACTACACGAACGAAAAAAAATGATTTTTTTCTTTTAATCATTCCACCTCAATCAAGGAGATAATGCCACTAAGACGCAAGGGGTTACTGAGAGTGGAAGAAAATGTGAAGACTTTAGTGAGAAGAAATAAAGAAAAGGATTACAGAAGATGGCGATTGATGTTGCATTTGTCGGATTATTTCCTCTTAATTTCTGAAACTGCTACGAGGGGGGGGCATCTCCAGCACTATACATACTCGGCAATATCTTTTCTCTCTCTCCCTTCGTACTTATTCGCTAATACGAACGACAACAATGTAAAATTCTAGCGTAAGAACGTGATTCCTCTCGTGGGACACACATAAACATTACATACACATACACGTACGTATGCACATTCACTCACTACACATACTTTGGACCACAAACTTTCCACATTCATTTGTTACATAAACATTATTGTCTTTATCTCATGTAACCCTTTCTTGTTAATACATTATCATTTGTTTGGACATATTTATTGGCTTTTGTTGTTTCTTTAGATTTCTTTTTGGTGGACTCATCCCTAGTCCGCCATGTTTGTTGTGGGCATTTACAGGAGACACACGTGTTTATCTCGCAACGCGTATACTGGCCCGCAACACATTAAAATTTTATAAAAACGCAGGTGACAGGAAAGCAAGAAACTGGAAGAGAGTTCCACAGGCGAGAAGTGCAAGAAAAGAAACTATCAGAATGGAACATGTAGCAGTAACAAAACGGCGAGACCTAACTGCCAATCTAGTAGTACGCTTAAATTCATGCGGTTGAGGTGCCAAGGAGGGGTGCTCATTTGAACGATTTAACCTGCTAATTAGTAGTATGCCCAAATCCAACACCAAATCCAGAGCCTTCTCACTTGGCGGAACCCCTTCTCCCATGGTTAACCTCTACAACTTCTCATCTCTGGCCATACTGGGTTATATGGAGCCAAGGTATCGGGTCAGTTCGTTGCCTTGGCTTACCTTTGGGCACCCTTTTGTTCTTTTTTTCATTGGAAGGAAAAGAAAACAGTATAAAGACTAGAACGACAGAAGAGATTCATTTTAGGTGGAAAAGGAAAAAAAAAGGGGGGGGGCAAAAGGAATGAAAGTGAGAAAATAAAAAGAAAGAGAACTTGAGAAGAAAAAAAGAAAGAAAACAATGGAAATCAAGTAATAAAGATAGAAAATAGAAAAAGGAAATAAAATAAAGAGAAAAACAAAAAAGGGAAAAAAAGACAAAAAGGGCGAAAAGAAAGAAGGAAAGGAGTAATAAGAGGGAAAGAGAGAAAAATAGAAAGGAAAAAAGAATGAAAGAATAACTAAAAAGAAAATAAGATTAACGAGAAAAGAAAGAAAGAAGGAAAAAAGAGAGAAAGAAAGAAAGAAAGAAAGAAAGAAAGAAAAAGGAAAGAAAGAAGGAAAAAAAATGAAAGAAAAAGAGAAGGAAAGAAAGAAGGAAAGAAAGAAACAAAAAGGGAAAGAAAGAAAGAAAGAATGAATGAAAGAAAGAAAGAAAGAATATTTAAATTTAAAGTTAATTTGAAATCGTGTCTCATTCCCAGAGCAGACGAATTTTCAGAAGACCCAAGATTGAGAAAAAGAAAAAGAAAGAAATGAAAAGGAAGGAAGGAACAAAGGACGGAGGTTATTGACTGAATTTCGCTTTGTCTGATGCCAAACCATACTAGTGAAGCATTCAAATAAGGGTGGAATTCCTAACCCTAACCCAACTGCTCAGCCAGTCGGCTTTGCTGACCATCCTGTTATTATGTGAAGCACACGAGGGGGAACAGGAACAGAAAACATTTGACAAATTGACGCCGTATAAACTGAGTATAGATTTCAAAACATGATATCTGTAATGGGGGGCAGAATGAAAAAAAAAACAACAGAGAGAAAAAGCAAGGTAGAGTGAGAGAGTAAGAGAGAGAGAGAGAGAGAGAGAGAGAATAAAGAGAAAGCAAAACTATAAACGATACTCACTATCGTTTATAGTTTTGCTTTCTCTTTATTCTCTCGATGTGTAGAACGGACCCGGAGAAAAAAAAGAGCGAGTAAGTAGGGAAAAAGAGAGAGAGTGTTATAATAAAGTGCTTAGAGAAAGGAATCGAACAGAGGGAGAGAGAGAGAGAGAGAGAGAGAGAGAGAGAGAGAGAGATAATTGGGTCAAACACGAGTAGGAAGTCTTTACATGTGCCCTACGAAATACGCTGGATATGAACAGACCGGAATCGATATGGTGATTTTCTAAGCGTAACTTAGGTGTGGCACAAGGCCAAAAGTACGGACACCAGGTGAGGATCGAATTCATTATTCAGTCGTAATTGTTCTTGCGAGACAAGCTTGCCAACCATTACATCACGTCGAAGTTCCCAAACGATTTTCTAAGCGTAGCTCAGATGTGGTACAAGGCCGAAAGTGAGGGATGAGGGACACCCAGTGAGGATCGAACTCACTATTCAGTTGTAATTAAACTAGCGCGACAAGCCTGCTAACCATTTCACCACGTGGAAGTGCCCAACCGGAAACGATGTGTATGAAAAGTTTTTTTTAGTACATCGGGGCTGAAACTATGGCAATATGCTATTTTTAAGATTGATGTAAAACAATACCCATACACTCGTAAAATCAGATGCATATCTACAAAAACGGAACTTTATTCAAATACTAAAAAGAGTAAAAAGCTTAGTGTTGATCGCAGCCAGTACAGTAGTAATTATCTGCTATACGAGTGTTGATTGATACGAATCTCCAAACCTATAAAACAATTCTTAGAAAAGATGGAATAATGAAACTGGTATCAAAATGAATGTATTCCTCTTCACAATTACGAGAATTGAGTGATAAGTAAAGGGTTTAATTTCTATAAAACACATTTTATACCAGAGAGAATAACGAAACAGGTACCAAAATGAAGTCTATTTTTCGATTTAAAGTTTTAAAAAAAAATATATACTTGCTAATGATGTCTTGCGCTGACAAGCGTAGCTGGGTCACTGTGAAACTTCAAGTCAGAAGATAACTTATTTGAAATTCTATCTATCTATCTATCTATCTATCTATCTATCTATCTATCTATCTATCTATCTATGTTCGTATCTATCTATCCCTAAATGTTCATATCTATCTATCTATCCCTGCATGTTCATATCTATCTATCTATCTATCTATCTATCTATCTATCTATCTAAGAAAGTAAGTTTTATATATATATATATATATATATATATATATATATATATATATATATATATATACCACATTGGTAAAAATATTGGAAAAACAAGTTGAAAATGCAAATGGAGTCTTTAAGAATATGTATTTAGACTAACTTTACTGACTAGAATTTTTTTGCAACCCACTGACGCATGTTGAAATCCTTAGAATATTTACTATCGTTGAAGTTATCGTTAACATTTTTTGTCGAGATTTACAAACTACGTTTCATTCAATTTCGCAAATCGATCGATGAAATTTGAAACTGATTTGTTTAAAAAAATACTTTGATAAAAACCCTACTTCGCGGTTTAATAATTTCTTTAATTTAATTTAATTTTATAGGACTTTATAGTAAACAGTATTTTTTAAGAAAATGTCTTTTTTTCCTTTTTAACAGCGAAGAATAAATTCTTAGGATTTCTTACTCTTGAGCATGCAACATACAACTGACAATGCATAAATATTTCTTTCTGAAGCCAAATTCCAATATTTGAAGCGTTTGGTCTTGTGATTTGTTTACAGTTCTCGCCAAACAGAGCGAATTGGGAACTGGATTCTTGTATATAAAAACTTAAAGAAAAGATATGCAAAAAAACAAAAAACAAAACAACAAAAAAAAACAAACAATATTACATTTTTATTAAATGAGTATTTGTTATTTTAATCATTAAATTGTTTTTAAAATAGTGGGAGTATTTTGCATGTTAAATAATAAAACTTTTAATTTAAAAAAAATGAATGGAGATTTATTGTACTAAGCTATGCACCCTAGTAAAACCAACTATACTTTGTACCCCCCCCCCTTAACTGTTTGCGCTTCTCCCCAAAATTTGGTTTCGATCGGTGAATTTATGGCTATTTTAGAGGGCATGGCGGGCGGACTAACGGAAGTCACATAATTTTATATATAGATTTCACACTTCTATAATTTTCAAAATGCCATGATATGTCTCGCATATGTTATACTTATTCTTCTTGTTTTAAAGCATTATACCCACTCATGACCCTTTCATTGATTCATAGTAGGTCCTCTTTTTAGTGTCAACATACGGCGAAGGATTTCCACAGGTTTGACTCCCTCTGCCCACCGAAAGTTCCTCGATGGTACAATTGCTGAGTGAAGCGTCCATACGTCTGATCTTGTTGCTCCCTGCCATTGAACTGAACAATGGAATGCTGCATGCAGCTAGTTACTCATCATACCCATGCGCACGCGTGGTGTTGCCTGGTAACGCCTCTCCCCGTTTACCCTACGTCATTTCAAATTTGCATTTACTTTCTCATTTACCCTAGTATATATTGTCCGCAGCAAAATAGGGATTTATTAAAGGTAAAAAGGGACAAATTTTAAACCAGGTTAAAGTTGATTGATCGTTTACTTGATGAATATAATAAGATTAAGGCGAGTAGCTGGATCGACTGGACAGATTTTACAAGTATGAGAAAGTATTTTAAGAGCCAAAGCATAAAGAGTATTGTCAATGCTTTGAAGCGGGTGAAGTAGATGCTATTAGCCTTTAAAATCAGCGTTTGAAGTGGGGAAGGGGTAGATCATCCTTTAAAATCAGCGTTTGAAGACATGGTCATTGGCAGGATTTGGACAGTGCCTACTGACAGACTGTTATAGTTCCAGTCTCAAAATCCTAACTTCAAGATAGATTGATAAATATTGCATATTTTACAAGTATTTAGGTGTAATAACTACCAGAAGAAAGTGATCGCTTTGAATTTTGGTTTGCGGGCCGTTTTCATGGTGAAAGAAAAAGAGATGATTCCTGACCCCATGGTAAGTATAGGGTCACAGCCTCCCCACACTAGGGCCACAGACTCACCACACTAGGCCTACAGACTTACGATACCAATAAGAATAAAAAAGAAAATTCAATTGACCAAAATTATTTAAGATACTGATACCCTCAATGCAAAGTTTTATAGCAAAATTATACTAATGTCTTATGTTTGGTAGTGAGCCATGAAAATTTTAGGCAGTACCATTTTCTCCGTTGTAAGTGAGCATTCGGTAAGCAACGTGGCAAGAATTCTGCTGTTGCTTTTAAGAAGACTCTTATGTAAGGATCTCTACATAAAAAAAACGCGATACCTGAAGTTTAAAATGAATTTTTAAAAATGAAAAATCTTTCTTGAGACTTTATCTGTAAAACATAATTGAACAAAATGACGTGAGCGCCTTTTTTTTATTTAATTTCTAAGTATTCAGTAATTTTAAAAATTTAGGAAAATATTCCTCGTAATCTGATATTTTATTGAATTTTAGAAATTTGGGCTTTAAATTTTCCTATAGATATCGCACTTATTTTCCGATAATGTCATGTATGGCCGCCCGTATTTACAAAAAACAGCACGTTTATACACTAATAAAAAAAAATTCAAAATTATTTTTAAAATATTGGTGTTTGATGATTTGTATTAAGCTTTTCGATTTATGATTAGTAAATATAATTTTCACTTAATAATATCATCAAAACCGCTGAAATTAATACAAAATTTTAAAAGATTTAAAATTTAATAAATTTTACTATTTAAAATTTAGAAAAGGCAAACACAATTTTTGTAAAAATTCATTATTCATGGAAAAAAAATTGAAGACAACAATAAAGACTTAAATATCCGATTTATAAAAACAATTAAAAGCTTTTCTAATTAAATAATGTCATAGTTTTATTGCATTTTTATTTTACAATTCAGAGTAAATTTTCGGTAAATGTTGTTTCTGTTTGGCAAAAAAAAAAAAAAAAAAAATTAATGATTTAAATTTTCCAAAGAGTCCCTGATTTTAACTGATATAAGTGCGAAGACCTCGAAATTTGAATTTCTCGAAGTTTCATAAAATTAACTAACTGAAGGTTACAGATGTAAAATAAAAAAATTACCAAGGTTTTCTAAAAATAGATAATTTAAAAATAATTTCATTAATTTGTGGATAAATCTTGAAAATTTCATTAAAATCCGACAATGATTTGATTTTCGCAAAAACAATGTGCAAAAAAAAAAAAAAAAAAAAAAAAACGCTAAATTGCCCAGCCGTTAACACAAGAAAAACAAGATTTTTCTGCTGTGTAACTTACAGTCTTTACTTTTCCAAGTTTAAGGTTATCCGTTATCTTTCCTACACGTTCTCATAAAAAGTACTTCTTACCTCTTCCTCTTACGCTCATATAGCAATATCATTCAGTACCTCGAGTGGCTCTTGGGCCTCGTATAGTGTGAACATTAATAGAAAGAAATTACTGCAAACTCCTTTTTATGTGCCGTGTCTCCTCATGAAGTAGAAGATCATGATTTTCGGTGTAACTACAAGTATATTCCCTTGTGAAGTCTTCTAATCTCTGTTCTATCATCCATTTACACAAGCTCATCAGGCATGTTAATCGCTGTTTCATTCTGTACCTCTTATCTTTAATATGTCCTGTGAGTGTCAGATTCTCCAAGCCCGCTTTCCTCATCTTTCAATTGTTTCTTTCTGATCTGAAATAAAAGTATCCTTTTCGTTCCCATTTTCCTTAAAACTTCCTCGTTGCTCGCATGCTCCGTCCATGGTATTCTCAGCATTCTTCTATGGAATGATATCTCCTTTGCCTCAAGTCTCCTTTCCATCCGTGATGAAATTGTCCAACATCGACTACCATACAGATAAACTGACATTACACAACAATTGAAAAGAATTATGTCCGTTTCCAGCGACATTTTCCTGTTTCTGAATATTTTGCTTAGTTTCTGAAAGGCATCTTTCGTTATTTCTAATACGCTTCGGATTTCGGGGCCATATTTTCCGTCGTCTGCTTAAAATTCTGTATTTGCTTGATTTGGAGTAGCGACTCACCTAACAAACAGTAATCCATTTTAATCAGTAACCCAGCACTAATTTCAACGAGAGCAATTTCAGTAAATTATGCACACAAAACTGTATTGATAGTTAGAAAAACAAAAAAAACTCCGGGTAGTTTTAGACAAGTAAAGGAAAGCGAGAAGAAAGGACTAACAGTCAACTGTACGGAAACAGAATGCATGAATACTAGCAAGAGGAACAGTCCAAGATGTGATACACACACACACACACACACATATATATATATATACATACAGGGTATCCATAAAGTTTGTGTGTACTTTAAAA